TCCATGCTTGAGGAAAGTCGACTAATGATTTTGACAGTTTTCTGTGCTTGAGAAACCCACCGGTTGAGATACTTTCCATGCATGAGGAAAGTCGACATATGATGTAATCGCTGACTTCTTCGCTTTGAGAGATGACAACGACCGACAATTTTCCATGCTTGAGGAAAAACTTGTCTAATAAGATTGCAAGTCTCTGTGTATCGAAAACCTTGCGCCATGAATCACCTTCGCTTGGGAGATGATCACTAAAATGATGATGGTTCGCTTGTCCCAAACGTGGGTTGTAGATAGTTCGCTTGTCCCCAAACGTGGGCTGTAGATGGTCCACTTGTCCCCGAACGTGGGATGTAATGGGTTCTCTTGTCCCCGAACGTGGGTCGTAGATGGTTTGCTTGTCCCCGGACGTGGGCTGTAGATGGTCTGCTTGTCCCCGGACGTGGGCTATAGATGGTTCACTTGTCCCCGAATGCGGCTGTAAATGGTTTGCTTGTCCCCAAACGTGGGTTGTAGATGGTCCGCTTGTCCCCGGACGTGGGCTGTAATTGAGACCTACAAAATAAAATTTGCCAAGGGACTCGTATAGATTATGATTAACTTGACCAACTGACTTGACCAAGCTTAACTTGACATGACATGACATGTGTATAACTTGTGGTGTTTTTTGTATATGGTGTGTGTGTGTGTAAACACAAGGATTAAAAAATGCAAAAGCAAAAATTTTCCGCCATTTTTGTCATGAGACAAGTGGAAGGTACTGACTTTTTCCCGAAAAAAGAAAGATGTGAAAAATGAATTTTTGTTTTCGAACTTCCCTCGATAAAAATATTTGAAAAAAGTTTTTGAACTTCCCTAAAAGAAAAAAGATGAAAAAGAGAAGAAGTTTTGAACTTCCTCATTGAGCAAGATGAAATGAATTGTATGGATTGAATTGCTTGTCTTGAAAATAATGTATGCATGATGCATGTTCTTAGGTTAGGAGGATAAGGACAATTATATCATGTGACGCGATAGATGAATGAACTTAGGTCATGGAGCTAAGCATCATATATGGTTTAAAGAAACGATCTTGAACATCACTTAGGTCTGGAAGCTAAGCACGTATATAGATGAAGTGATTGATGAATGTTGCTTAGGTCAAGGAGCTAAGCTCGATATGAAATGCATGAAACAATTAATAATACTTAGGTCTGGAAACTAAGCAAGTATATAATGTTTTCATTTGATGAATGTTGTCTTGAAAGATGATGAAACATGCACAGTGTTGAAAAAAGATTTCATGAAAAAGGGTTCTTAAAGGGAAAAATGATATGGATATGGATGTGTGAGTGAAGTGTGTGAATGTGATACCAAGGCTGGCTGCAAAGGTTATGGGGATGAAAATATATGTGAGAAGATTCAAAGATGATGACTTTTTAGGCTGGGTAAGCTAATGTGATGTGGGTTCAAGCCCCCAAGTCTAGCTCTAAATGGGTAGGGATAAGCATTGGATATTCTTTGACTCGATCATGCATGGATATGAATATGAATGTGAATATGAATGTGGCCGCACCTCGATGTGAGGTTGCCTATGTATCCATTAGGAATTAGGCCAACGTAGCTCTAGCCAAACTTTGCACAAGTGTATGTACACCTCAAAAAGGTCTTTTAAGGGTTGTAATATGGTTAAGTTGATGGTTTAAAAAAGAAAAGGGTACAAGGCTCAAGACCCGAGAGAATCCTCAAGATGTGTAATTGTGAATTTGAAAATTTTTAGCAAGTTTATTTTCAACATTTTTTTTTTCCTTTGATTTTTTTTTCATTCTTTTTAATCAATGTGGGCAATCTCGGATCATGCGATCCATCACTCACTTAGAATTCATGTTTCTCAGGCACGGTATCAAGCACTCGATGAGAGACGCAATTTGAGACGTGCTCATATCAAAGACATTGGAACACTTGCCCTTCGATAATTTTTTATTGTTGCTTTGCTGCTTTTTTTTTACTTGCTTTTTGAATGTTACTCAAATTTCATATTTTCCAATCCCAGGGCTAGGTGAATGTGGGTTGAATAAATAAGGTCAATCGTTAGACGAAGTTCAAAGTGGTTGATTAAGAAATGGATACGTGATTGAATGGTTCATGGGGAATGAATGGGTTGCAAAGGTGCCTCAAATCATTAGTATACCTTGTGTTCGGTTCGACAATTGTTTTTTTTTTTTTTTTTTTTTTTTTTTGCGAATGACATGATCGAATGCAAAGGAAAGAAATATCATTGATGGAACATGGCATATAGACATAAGGATAAGGAGAACTTATGCTAGACTTATTAGGGGAAAAGGGTTGAAACGAAAGAGAAAAAAAAGCATGAAATCTGGTATGAAAACTTGTCTTATGCTTCTTCTTCATGGTTGCTTATGAATTACTTGTTACCACCAAGAGGGATAAGAATTTTGTTATTGCTGATGCTTTGATTGAAAGGAAATAATTAAGGAAGGAGTGACGTGCCCCTTATTCTTCCAACATTTTCTTAGTGATTGTAGACTCCAGTACTGTGTAAGGATGAACTCACTTAATACTCAGATTGGAAAGGAAGAGTGTATGAAAAAATTTTGAAAACTGATGGGAAATACTCGATCTACTCATTCCTATTATGACGGAAAACGACGCATGCATGGTCCTAGTAAAGGATCATAAACAATATAGTGCATTATTCAAAGACAAAGTGTGTGCAATGACTCAACATGTATGATTAGGTGAGTTTATTAATGGTATGATCGCATGACAAGACATGAGGACGTTGTGAAAAACAAAGGACCCAATGACCAAATAGCACAGAAGACTAAAAGACAAACTAACTTGATTAATTTTGTCCAATTTTAATGTTTATGCTATTTACTAGGTGAAAACGGTCGATTGGAAATTGTTAGTCATAAATAAGATCAACCACAATCAAAGACAAAGAAAACATGTTAAGGTTAGCACAAAAAAATCGATCACAAGAAACTAGGAAGATGACTAGAATTCTAGAAGAGTTAGGACTCATGGGTATAAAAAATAAATAAACAAAAATAAAAATCTATAATCCTATGTTATATGAGTTGACACGAATTAAAGGACTTGTCTAAGACTATATTAACACGAAAAGATATAAAAAAATATTAAAAAAAGAAAGTTGACGCTAAAAAGACACCTAAACTGGTCAGGCTGTAGTATATTGGTTATAACTTTTGATCTGTGACTTTTATTGGGACGAAACCAAATCCAAATGAAAGATAAAACTCGGGGCTACAGATCCATAGGTTACACAACACATAACTCTTTTTAGAACTCTGGATATGACAAAAACAAGTTGACCCTTATACTGGATACGGGAATAAAAATCCGGGTTGACTCAAATAAAAAAATAAAAAAATCTATGACTCGACTCTAAAAAAAATAAAAAGTGTTTGATAAGAAAAAAAAATAATTTCAAAAAATTCAATAAAAAATGCACATATAAGCACATCGCCAATCATGATGCAATGAAGTTTGCAACCTAAAGTCAAGTTCTATGTTCCACTATGGTTATGCTTATGAGTGTTAAAGGGTAACATGGTTAAGAGTTTGGACGCGTTAGCAAGGCAGCCTCCCTTGAGGGTGTATGCCAACGGGTGGCTCCGCGAGTTCGTGATGAAATCGAACTCGACTCCATGGTTTGGGTGGATTTAATAACTCGGATGAACCGTTATTGCCATGAGCGTTTTCGGGTTGATAGAGCTTAAATCCCCAGGGCTAGCCACATACGTAGAACACGTACTATTGTGGAAAAATAGGAAAATTAAAATGCATATGCATATGTGACAATGCCAATTAAATCACGGGAATACAATTCAAGAATCTTTCAAGTCTCATCCACTCATCTCAATTAAATACCGATCACTCAAATCGATAAATAACCAAGAATCCTCCCCAGTGGAGTTGCCAAATTGTTGGCGTCGTTCGAAGTGTGCTAAGTTAGCATGTTGTGAATATGCTTGGCACTCATAGGAAGTGGCAATTAACATGTACGATTAAGGACAAGGAAAGTAGGGAGCCGCCAACAAGTTTTTAAGGAACTTGTAAACCGTTCACGGATCATAAAAGGCAACCACGATTAAGGGACAACGAAAGACAACAACGATTGACCCGTGAAGGTTACACCCCATTCATAATCCATGATATTTCTAACTCCATATGGTTCGGAACCACAAAAGGAGGATCGGGAATGATGGTACGAAGTGAGTCATGAAGTCACATTCGCCCGTATTGGCCTCTACTCGATTCTTATAGTGAAAAGTGATTCATGCAATCTCAAAGGCATGCAAACAAAGATTCAATTTGATCCAATCTATTATTGGGCTAAATTGGTTGAATATTAATGCAACATATAATTCCAAAATATTGTGACCACTTGATTAAACAACAAGATTAAAAAGGATCCTAAACCGGTTGTCCAAATTATCTTATTAGGCGCGATTTTCAATTACATATTCCTTTTAAACACGCAATATGGTATCAATAATAATATGCACTAGTAGAAAAAAATGCTATTTGTAACGCCCTATTAGTAACTGACGTATGTTAGGCTAGTTACGAAAGCATCAATAGTAACCGACTAAGATAATGCCAGTTACAAATTTCATTATATGAGTAACCGGCGTAGTAGATGTCAGTTACTAATATGTGTTTTATTATTGTTTGAAATTTTAATGTAACTGACTAAATAAATGTCAGTTACAAATATTAAGTCAAAGGAACTTTGACTAAAAAGTTTGTAACTAGCATACAAACGCCAGTTACAAATATTAAATCAAAGAAACTTTGACCAAAGCGTTTGTAACTAGCTTACAAACGTCAGTTACAAATATTAAGTCAAAGAAACTTTGACTAAAAAAAAAATTGTAACTATCTTACAAACGCCAGTTACAAATATTAAGTTACTACTTCCTATTAATTTTCATTTAATATTTATTGAAGTTAGAGGAAACAATTTGTGGCTAAAACCAAACAAAATATTTAAACTTTTTTTTTTTCCACTTTCGCTCCAACTTCTCGCGCTACTGGTAAAAACTCCTTCTTCCTCCTACAGTTTCTTCTTCACTCCATTTCGTATTGTTTTGGTTTTTCGAATCTGGGTTCAGTTTTTTTATTTTTTTTTTTTTTACTTGAGTTTTTTTAAGATATTAGAATTACTTTACCCTCAAATTAATATATTCATGAAAGAGAAATATATCCCATCCCACGCTAATTTCCCTTTCACCTCATTTACTCTGAAAGAAGAGTCAGTCTTTGCACCGCCGAACCCACTGACGCACGCCCGTAGTCACCGGCACACCAGCGCACCGTCGCACCAACCGAAGCTCCACCGCACTGCTGCACCATTGCGCCACCCACCACTGTACTAACTAGGTTAGTTTCGAATTATTCCTCTTCTGTAGGAATTTGATTCGAAAATATAATTGCAGTATATATTCATTATTCGAATTTTACAATTAAATTGTAGTTATAATTCAATCATATATTCCTCGAATTTCAGTATTTTGATTCGAAATTTAGGTAGAATAAAGAAACTTCAAAGTTCTTATTTTAGGGCAAATTATTCAATCGATTTTTTTAGCGCAATTAATTCTATCGAATTTCAGCAATTTATATCAAATTACACTCGATTTATTCGAATTACATTTATTTCATTGTCAATCAAAATGATTTTCGCCAAATTAATCTTCCTGTGGTCGAATCTATAACCTTAGTTAGATTGAAATTTGAGGTTAATGTTGGGTTATTTAGCTATGCGTTATTGTATGGTTTTGGTATATGCCTAGAGGCTGCTAATTATATTGAGTATTGTTCTGTTTTGGGTGTTCCTAAGTATTGAAATATGACCATCTTAATTACATGTCTTCTTTCTCGTTTTGCAGAAATTTGCTCTGTTCCTCACATGGACAATCTGGTAAACATATACAAATATATGGAAGTCGCATCAGGGGTTACTTTTTGTCTCTCAAAGTGGACTCTTGAGTAAATTAGCAGGTAGCGAAGTATCTTTGTCCATATATATATATATATAGGATTTAAATTAGCAGTTGTGAAAACATTACCCACTCGGGCCTTATTTAATGTTGGTGAAGATTGTCCTGTATTTGGTGGTCTGTACTTGTTTTGTCAGACTTATGCTGGCGGTTCAGTTGGTGGTGCCGTCAAATTGAACCGTGGGCTTTGTGACATTGCGATTAATTGGGCAGGTGGCTTGCACCTTGCAAAAAAGTTCGAGGCCTCTAGGTTATGTTATGTGAATGATACTGTTTTTGCAATTTTGGAACTTCTCAAAATTCATGAGGTGAGAGAAGTAATCTTTATCATCTTTTGTGATTTTAATTTATAAATGTTTATGAAGGTGTTTCTTTTGTGTACAATTTTTTTATGGTCTTTGATGGTGAATATTGCAATTGGTTACTTAGCAATTTTACGATTATATGATATAGCTTTATAACCTTGATAATAACTTTTATCAGAAGGTCTTTTACTAGAAATATTTAATTGCTTTTCGCAATTGGTCACTAGCTACTTAGTTAGATTTATAAAAAAATGATTATTAGATGTTCAAGTTTTATGTTCTTTAGATTCTTTTGCTGTGAGCATTCTTATATAATAAAAAAAAATATACGATGTGTTGGAAACTAAATTCCTATGAAAAAGATTGTTTCATTTTATAACCTGTCTAGATATTTCAGAATCCATTAATAAACCTGATTAGAACCTTTATGACATGGTTTATGGAAGAGCCAGCAAATAAGAAACAATTGTGTTAGTAGTGCTTACATTTATTTATCTTATGCTCTTTTGCGTAACAGTTGATGTTTTGTATGTTTGATATGTGAACCTTATGTAGTGATGACTAGTGATAGATTGAGAAGCTCTTTGTTATCAAAAGGACGTTGAGTTGTCTCTTGAATGTATTGGCATTGAAAGACATGACATTGATAACGTTGTTGCTAGAGTTAGGCCTTGTTATTTTGAATTTATTTTTCTATTGATTCCATTTTAGTCATAATGTGTGGGGAATTTTTTGGATTGGTTTCCAGGTTTAATGTGTGGTGAATTTGTTGGATTGGTTTCCAGGTTTAACTGGCTACTGAACTCAATTTTTAGTCACTCATAGGCATGTGATAAAGGAAACTAAGTTCCTTGGCAGTTGGAAAAGCATATGCTATATAGATTGCTTCATTAATTTTTTGTTAATAGCACTAGGACCATCTAAACCAGCTCAGCTGGTTCCTAAATCAGTCCAAGCCATACTTCCAACCTGCAACCCCCTCCCCCCCTTGACTGACCCTTATAAACCCTCCCAAGTCCACTTGTCAAAGGCCAATTTCACATGAAAGCAGTATTTGTACAAAGAAAGAAGCCTAGGGAAAAATAGACTAAATTCATGTTTTCCAAACAAGGTCATTGGGAGGGAAAAAATAGACAACAGTTTTGTATAACAGAGCCTAGTTCAACTTCTCACAATCCGTACATCAATACATGAACACCTTTTGTATAATATATTGCAAAGACCTAAGGCTTCTACTCATGCAACTCAATCATATTCAAACGCTAAAATAAACTCAAGAACTTACTCTAAGGCTTCTGCTGTGAGCCTGTGAATTTCAGAACTGAAAATCAGAATGAATTCAAAGCTGAAATTCAAAACTGAAGCTCAGAACTGAAAATCAGAAATAAATTCAGAACTGAAGCTCAGAGCTGAATTCAGAACTGAAAATTAGAACTGAATTGTTTTTGGTTGTAATTTAGGGCTTTGTTGGTTAAATCTTACTTTTATTGGAACTTGCTTTGTATACTCTAGTATAATATTTGTTATTTGGACTTTTTACTTTATTTCAAATCCTCATGTTGAGTCTTCGACATTGACATGGGTACGGAGCTATGAACTTTTGCTTCTTTTTGGTTAAAGATGCTTAGGACACTTACTCATATCTAGTATGCAATGAGTTCTTGAGTATGAGTTATATTGAGTGGTGTGTTTATGGTCGTTGCAGAATATATTGATATTTGATAAAGAAAGTAGTTGTCCTGTACTAATTAGGCATTTTCACTATTCTGGCTTATCTGCTAATGCATTACTCCATCTCCCCCACCTCTTTTAAAATAAATTGACTCCATATATCAAGCTGCAACATCCTGTTGAGTGCAAGGGCAATGATATATCCTTAATCTCCTTTCTTCAAACCTTTTGTCATTAACTGTATTTTTATATAAAATAAAGTACTCGGTTTAATAAGCTTTATAATCCTAATCTGCATAATCTGGTACAGAATTTAACATGATTTAAACAAACTCTTTCTTGATTGGGTTGACATATCCTTTACTTTTCCAATTTCCTTGACTAATCTAACTTCTTTAAAAGTCGTTTCTCTTATGTACTGCAATTTATATGGTGAACTTCCAGGTAGTGTTTTTCTTCTGCCGAATCAAGTATTTCATGAACTGACCGCCTTAGGCCAGGTCACATTTTTGTCTTGAACTCTATCAATATGAATGATCTATCTTTTCTTGCTAATCTCACTAAGCTTTCATATCTCAATCTTTTTGAAAACCATTTAACAGGTCCAATCCCACACTGGATTGTCAATATGACCCAATTAGCTTTGTTTTATTTGGGAGAAAATCACTTACAGGGTCCAATTCCACAATGGTTTTCCCATCTTTCATGTTTATGTGTGATCTTGAACTTATTTGATTGCTTATATTTATGCGTGATCTTGAACTTTTTATTACTCATACTTGTTAGTTGTAAACTGTGGATTATGCTTTCATGTTTCTTACGACATGCACTATTATGTAGGTCCCAACTAATTAAATGTCGTCTTGCTTTAATTGATGAGTTAAGTGGGAACTCAGTGATGGTGGCCGATGGAACGATAGAACCTTGTCCTAGTTGAGTGACTCGTAACAAGAAAATGAACCGTGACTTCTACAGAATTAGTGTTGACCATGTTTATAGTGATTATTCTTACCTAAATCTCCCAGAAGAGACTGATGATGTATCACTAAGTTGGGTCAGGCGGAAGGTTATTTTTTGGATGGCTTGCAGATTTAGTCTTCTTCTTTATTGATGAGGTAATACATTGAACGCACGTAATGATCTAAGATATTTGTAACTTAATTACATTAATATTTATCTTTCTTTAAGGTTATGACTTTGACAAAAAAGACGAATAATGAATTGGTATAAACCGAATGGTAATGAGATATATGTATGAGATAATATCTTTCCATAGCGATTGCAAGGGTAATTTGAAAGAGGTTAGTCCTCTTCTTTACAAGCTAAAATGCTTTATACGAGTTTTGGATGATGTTTTATTTTTATAAAGTATAATAGACAAGTTTTTTTTTATATTTTTTATTTTTATATTTGCAGGAGTATTTGGCAAGACTTGCAGCCTACAACGATGTAGAATTAGATGAGATTTGAGACAATGGGCTAAGTATTTAGGCTTACTTTTTTGTTAGAAGGCTAGTTATCTACTTTTCTACATAATACATTTCTATATATCTACTTTTATTTAGCCTATTGGTTATTGTTATTACATTTCTAAATTATAAATCAATGATTTTTTTATTCAAGTTTTAATTGTTTTTCGGAAATTAAAGTATAGTTACTTTTGTTGTATTTTATGGTTGTGGATGAATAATTCAAGTTCTGTGGAATTATTTGGAGTGTTTGTATTGTATGTTGTAGGTGAATTTAAGTTATATGGAAGTATATTCAGAGTGCGTGTTTTGTTGGTTGAATTATAACAGATTGTAACCCATTTGATGATTGGTCGTTTGGTAGGATATACTACCATTTTTGTATTCGAATAAAATATTTATAAAAAAATTATTTATTTATTAGTAACTGGCGTAATCTAATGCTATTTACTAATAATATATTTTTTTTAAAAAAATAAAAAATTATATTTGTAACCGGCATTTAGATTTGCCAGTTACTAATAATACCCTAATTGTAACCGGCGTAACGTAATGCCAGTTACGAATAGTATGCTTTCTAACTTGGAAAATAGACTTTTTGTAACTAGCGTTAGATTAGGTCAGTTACGAATAGTGCATTATTTGTAACTAACATTAGCCGGTTACGAATAAATTTCACTAGTTGTAACGGTGGCATTCGCAACCAACAATGCCAGTTACAAAAAGTCAATTTCGCCAGTTACAAATAACAGTTTTTCTACTAGCTTAGTGATGGTAGAATAAACATTAATATTGGAAACAATTTTACAATAATATCGTTAGTCATATCAAATATTAAATAACCTAATCATGATACTAGCAATATTAAAATAAAATAATTAAATTAATTAATTACTCACATTCCGCGCGTTCTTTTAAATTGCTACATCATGAATAAATTGTTAGTAACTTCAACAAAAATATAAATCAAATGAAAATAAAATTAAATAAAAAGTAGAGTTGATTTAATCCAAACCCTTAGTTATTTGTACCTTTCACACCTTGGTTTAAGGACGGAACCTCGGGTCAAGTATGGACTCCTTGCAGTGCTTAAGGGAAGAATTAATGGTGTAATTAGGAATATAGGTTTAAGGCTTAAAGTATGAGAGAGAGAGAGAGAGAAGAGAATGAATTTTGGTGTAAAAGAGAAGAAGAGAGAAGGATTTGATGCCCCGAACTGTAGAAAGGAGGGGGGTTTTTATAGAGGAAATGAGTAAGGGATCACACGGAACCCTAAAAAATAATGCCGCGACACGACAAAGATTTCCGTGACACGGGGGAAATTAGTGTGACGTGGGGAAAACTGGAGTAACGCGGGACAAAAAAAAGGCTACAAAAGATACAACGCGCGAAGGGTTATTGCAGAGAAAACACGAGAAAATTGCGTGACACGACACACGTACCGTGACATGGCAATGTCCAGCATGGCACAGTACAGTACACCATGTCACGGTAAAAAAAAGTGCGTGAAAAACGCACCGTGACACGGTGAGACAGCAACAGGTACCGTGCCACGGTGGATTGTCACGCGGAAAAAACATGAAAAAAGCATTGTGACACGTTGTAAATTACCGTGTCACGGCACCAGGCATCGAGCCACGTCAGATTTTGCCGTGACACGGTGCTTTTACAATGTGCGCGGTAATTCCAGTTTTTTACGCGTTTTTAAAATTATCTTAACTTTTGATTCGTAACTCGGAATAGAGTATATAATGTATCATTGGAAATTTTTATCAAGTCTACTTTCCAACCCAATTGGAATCAGGTCAAAATCATTTGTAGAGTTTAAGATATGGTCGTTTTAGTAGAAGGGTGTCGGTTTTGGGCCGAGTTTAGTATTTTGCTCATATCTTTTTTGTTTTAAATCGGAATTGGGCTTATAATATATGGTTGGAAAGCTTATTTCAAGGCCTATCCAAAAAAATAATAATTGGATCAAAATTATTAAGCCACAAAATCAATTTCTCTCGGTTTTGTGATGTGGACACGAAAATAGGAAAACAAGTTATGGTTTAGAAAAATGAGTTAGGAAATGGATTGGTTTATGAAATGTATTGAATGGAAACATGGATATAAGTACTCCAAAGATTAAATACTCAACCCGACTAATAATGGCAGTGAAAGGTTGTTCATCATCGGATTTGATTTTTGGGAGACATTTTTAGGTGTTTACAATTACCAATCTTGAGGATTATAGAGTTAGAAATCATGATTAAATTTGTAAATACCTCAGTCAAAACAATGGCCAGCTAAGCAATGCTTAATAAAGGGCCACTAAATTTTGTCATAGACTTTTTCAAGGTTAATTTTGAAGGCAAAGAAGCCCTTCTCACACTTCATTCCTTTCATGGCGCCTGTGAATATTCGTTCTCAATTTCTCATAAACAAATATAAGGATATCAAAGAATGAATATAATAGTGATATTATAGAATAGAGAGGACAAAATCGCTTTAAGGATCATATCTCGAAGACTCCGATCATTAGCTAATTCCTTAACGTGCAATGAATTCAAAATTTTATTACATCACAATTTTTCTAGAAATGCCAAGTTTTATGACATCCAAAATCCTAAAATGTCATTTTTGTGTTTGCTAAAAGTATAAGATAATTGCTCCCATCAAACTAATCAAAGCATTATTTCTAAAAAGGTTTCAATTTGTACAATAACATAAGTCCTAAGAACAACTTCATTGACCCATGTTCACCAAATAAAAACAAATTCATTTTGATAATTAATAGCTTAAAAAGAAGCAAAAGATGATCCTAGACAAAAAAAAAAAACATTAAAAAATAAAATTAAAAAAAAAATACAAAAGAGCTAACGTTGATGTTTAATAAACAAGTAATTTGGAATCTAACATAGAATCAACTTTATATTGTATAGTCACATGACCATATATATTTTGGTTATGTAATGTCTATTATCATCTTTTTATCTTATTAACACTATTAATATGTACAACTAGTAAGTAAGCGCCGTTTGTCAGAAGTTCAAAGTTAAGTGGGGTTTGAAGAGAATTGAGTCAAGTAATTGAATTTGGCAGCTAGAGTAAAAAGGAAAGAATTTGCAATCTCTAGGCTTCCTATTTGCCACGTCATTGGGATATATCCACTTTTTTGCATGAAAATCAGCTAAAGACCATTTATCTGTGGAGATCACATAGGAATTAGATTCCAACTCCACCATCCATTTATAGAATAGTGAAAACAATCATTATATATATTTATCCTTGTTTGATTATGTCTTGTATATGTCTCCATGAGCTTATATCATTTTGACCCGACACGCTTGTCTTTGTATGATATATGTTATTATTAATATCCTTAAGGAATTTCGTTCAAATATATTGACTTGTTTCAACCTTTAGGCCATTACATCTAAATCGATTATAATTACTCCCTTTGTTTTAAATACTTGCTCCATTTCTCCATGCACGAAGTTTTAGAATAAGTTGAAAAAAATAATAAAATATGGAGATAGTGGAGTTAGTAGAAGAATAAAAAAATATAAAAATCCTAAAATAGTGAAGAGAATTGAATTAGAGAAAATATGGAATTGATATTGCTGGGTCCATTGGGTGAAAGAAATTAATTAAAAAAAATATAAAAGCTTTCCAAATAAGGAAATAAAGCAAGTATATAAAAACGACCAAAAAAAAAGGAAAGTGGAGCAAGTATATAAAAACAGAGGGAGTATAAATTATGGAATACCCAAAACTATAGCCAATTTGAAACTGTATCAATGATATGTGAAAAACCTTAATAAGTCCATTTCTAATCTATGCCAATAAATACTTGTATATCTTTTCATCTAATAAAATTTCTGTAGGGTAATTCTATGTTTTGTGTTTTTCTATCTCTTTGGTAAGGAAACTTAATTTTAATTCTCAATCACAAACATGTGTTTTCTATTATACACTTTTAAGGATTGATATTTGTATTATTCTATCAAAATAAATAAGATTGTTTTCGAGCTATAAACAGCCTATTGATGAGTGATAAACAAGATGTTCCAAAACATTAATGAGCCGAACACAAAACTATTCGAGTAAAATTTGTTTCGTAACAAACCTTAAGCTTTTGTCCAAATTTGTCCAATTGCTTAATGAACAAATTTGTATGGGTGAGCTATTTGTCTTGTGTCTGACTTGGGATTTGGGATGATGAAATAAAAGACTCATTTTATTAAGAAGCGGGCTCACTTAAGAGGGTGGGGGATAAGGAAATCCTTCAAATAAATCCCTTAAATTGGATCCTAGAACCCATAAATGCGAGGTGGGAAGTAATGCCTATTGCCACTACTACTATCTCAACCTCAAATGTTGGTGGTAGTAACAAACACAGAAGATAGGTAATTGATGAGTAACAATGTATCTCTCTTTATATCCCTTGTTTTTTTTTTTTTCCATTCCCGCGAATCAAACTAGTCATGTTAACTAATTTAAACAACAAAATTCTGGTACTCCTTTCGTGCCTAAATTTTTTTTTTTTACAAATTTTTCCAATTTTTAGTTGTATACGTTTGTCAATGTATTAATTTGAGTAAAGATATCTTTAGTTGTATTGTAGTAAAAAATATAACTACTATGTTTTCAAAAAAAAAAAAATATAACTACTAAATTATTAATAACTATTTTAAAGATGAATCAAATAAGACCCAACATAAATTTGTTAGATTTCATACATTAAGAAAAAAACTTAGTGGATTCTCTCATCTTATAGATAAATAGTGGGAGATTCCAATGTGAATAAATTATAAGGATTGAAGGAAATACTATAATTAAAGTTTTTAACGATTAATTTAGCTTTAATGGCATGTGCTGATAAAATCAACAAGTGGTCAGTTGTGAGGGGGTTTTTTTTTTTTTTTTTTTTAACATAATAAAAAGAACAAAAAATTTCGTTTCAAAAAAAAAAGAACAAAAATTTATTTGAGAATTTTCATACAAACAAAAAAAAAAAAAGAAAAATCCGCTCCTAGCCTCTCACCTGTCATATCTTCCTTTCCATCTCGACATATTAGATTTCTTAATCACCCCAGAGTAAAGAACCCAAAACGCTAGGCAAACCAATTTAGCCATTGAGCAGTGATAAACTATATTACGGCAACTTACTTCGAGAGTGAGAGCGCAACCCAATCACATTGTTCAAGTTAGTTCAGCGCAGATAAGTTCTTGTAGCTCTTGTTCATTTCCTCATAGCCTTGATAAATCGCCGTCTCTTTAATATGAGTTGTTTTGCCACTAATTTACTAGTAGCGTTACAGAAACCAACTTAAAATTTACCAAAAAAAAAAAGCTCAGTACCAGAATAATGTCAACTAAATACTAGCACTTGTTCTTCCGTGATAACCGTATAAGTAGAACAAGACATTACAAAAGATATCATTATCACCAACCGTTTCTCACATAACCATATACAAACAGGCATACAATGCATGTAAAAGATGAATGAAACAGTAGATAATCCTAATTTATGACAGGTATAAGCAAATAGCCTCCATATATCCTCCCGGGTTATCAAAATACCCTGATAATATGCATTATAAGCCGCATGTCACAGCCTCACCAAACCCCTTATCCCCCTATTAGTCCCCCAGAAACCCAGTTTACATTTTAATTGTCCTCATGTATCAGACATCAGAATAGCAATATAAGAAAATTTTACCCTAAACCACTGCAGCTCTTCACTTTATCAAGGGCAGCCTCTTCCATTTGAACTAGTTTACTGCAAAAAGATTCAACATCATCTGCCTCTTCTTCAAACGTGATCCTGAATTCTTTCCATTGGTATTCACTGCCACCACTAAGAACTTTAGCCAACATATCGAAGCCTTTTTTATCAACTGACAGAATGTAGGCATCCTTCACAACATACAAAAAGCAAATTGTTGCTTAGATTTGCAGGATATGAATAAGCATGGCATTGTAATGCAGGACACTTTAATTGATGCTAAATATAACTTCAGTTTATTTCAACCCCAAATTTAAAACAGCAAAACATGTTTAGTTGAACAAAACTAACTGGGCTTCTACAATCCGAAGGCAATGGATAAGGTTGACCTAAATAACGACCTGAAATTCAGATTAGCCTATAATCTGCGCCCCAAAACTATGGAACAGAATTCCCTATTGATTCTACACTCGTTTTTTACTATGGATAATGTTCGGAGAAATACAATGGAAGAGAGAGAAGGAACCTTCGCAATGATTATCATAAGTAATAAAATAAAAATAAAGTGGGCATCAGATTCTAATGTTAGCTAAAACAAATAAAAGATTCTGCTAGAGATCAGCTCAGGCCTCCAGTATTGGTTACATACGCAAGGAAGAAGCAGGGCAAGGGGAGTGGAATCAGTTAGCAATGCAAGGGCAGAAGAGTCTTTAATTAAATAATTCTGTTAGGAAAGTTTGTTATGGATTGAGAGGAATCTTTAAGCAAGTGCTTAGCTGGCTAAGTCTATTTAAGGGGGGAATAATCTGTTGTAAGATTTATGCTAAATTGTTGTTAAGTTTTGCTTAATATTGGGAGAGCTCCTTTCCTCTCAAATGAAAGGTGTATTGACTGTGTTTTGCTGAACATCAATAAATACTATCCTTCTTCCTTTTCGTATTTCCTCTGTTTAATTCCTTAGAATTATTACACTACTTCTTAATTCATAGCAAAGTGGTATCAGAGCAACACGATCTTACCTGTGCAATCATGGCTCGATTAACTCATGCGCAGCATTTGGATCTGCTTGAGCAAGAGATCGCTGGTGTTCCTTCTCAAGCAGATCTCTTAAATTGAGTGGCGGTGGATCTGCTTGAGCAAGAGATCTGCTTGAGCAAGAAGTCAACACGGCTTTAGCGGCGTTCCGAGCTGATGTCGCAGCTCAAATCGCAGCAGTTCAGGAGAAGTCACGCTCTGAGCCTCGCTCTGCTGCGGCAAATGGTTCACCGTTCCAGTGGGACAATCCGTTCGCTGGAGCGCCACCACACTTGGCGTTTGGAGGTGGTGGTGATCAAGGAGGTCACTCAAATTGGAGGTTGCGTAAGTTGGATTTACCCCTGTTTGATGGTACCAACCCTGATGGTTAGATTCTCAGGGCGGAGCGATTTTTTCATTTCTACCGTCTCACCGCTGAGGACCAGTTGGAGGCGGCGGTTGTCGCGTTGGAGGGCGACGCCTTCTCTGGTATCAGTGGGAGCATAGGCGACACCCTCTGCTGTCGTGGGAAGCGCTGAAAAAGGTGATTCTACGTCGTTTTCGAACCACCGCCACTGGCACACTTCACGAGCAGTGGCTCGCTCATCAACAGACTTGTACGGTGGCTGATTATCGGCGGAGATTTATTGAGCTCCTCGCTCCGATCGAGGGTGTTCCAGAAGAAATTGCGAAGGGTCAATACATTAATGGGTTGAAGGAAGAAATTAAGGTGGAAGTCCGGATACTTGACCCGATTTCCTTGGATCATGCCATGGAATTATCTGGGCGGATTGAAGAGAAGTTGCGTTTGGGCCCAAGGCCCAAATCTGTTGGACAGTTGCCCACTTGGAGAACCCCTATTCCCTCAACCCAATCTGCACCCTCTACCCATATCCAACCTTACCAGAACCCAAACACGACCCCAGCTCACTCAAACTCCACCTCACCTCACCCAAACACAACCCGTTACACCCATAAACCCGCCGGAGAGATAAGGCGGCTATCGGAGTCCGAGTTACAGCACAAGCGAGAGCAGGGGTTATGTTTTCGATGCGACGAAAAATGGAATTCCAACCACCGCTGTTCGCGGCGCGGGTTGAGTGTTCTACTCACCGTCGACGATGGTGATGATTTCGAGGAGGCCGAGGAAATTGAGACAGGGGAGTTGACGAATGTTGAAACTCAGCCTTCTCTGGAACCCGTTCCGTCCCCGTCAGTTGACCCGATCCTTGGTGTTTCATTCAGCTCAGTGATGGGTCTAACCAACCCAAAAACCATGCGTATGGCCGGAACAGTGAACGGTCAGCCTGTGGTGGTGATGATCGACCCTGGTGCTACGCATAACTTCATCTCCACCCTCGCCGCTCTTGGGAATTCCTCCGTCCGATTCAAAGAGCTTTGTTGTTACCTTGGGCACCGGAGAGGCGGTGCAAGGGGAGGGCGTGTGTAAGGCGGTGTTGTTGGACATTCAAGGCCTCACAATAGTTGAGGACTTCCTCTTTCTTCCCTTGGGAAGCTCCGACTTAATCTTGGGCCTCCAATGGCTCGAAAAATTGGGTACTATCGCAACCAACTGGAAGACTCAATTGATGAAATTTCAGTTGGGTGATCAATCGGTCACACTTCAGGGCGATCAATCCCTTGGTCGTTCTAGGGTATCTCTCAAAGCGATGATGAAGACACTGCAGAAAGAGGGACATGGATTTCTGGTAGAGTTGAACCATTTGGTGGGAGGGTCACTAGGGGAGTTATGAGGAGGCTCTTCTATTCTTACAGCAGGTCCTTCATGACTTCAGTAGTGTGTTTGCAATCCCGGAAGGTCTGCCACCCCGACGTTCAATTGAGCACTCAATTATCTTGAAGGAGGGCACGAACCCCGTTAGTGTCCGACCCTATAGGTATCCGCAAAGTCAGAAAGATGAGATAGAGCGTTTGGTTCAAGATATGCTCACGGCAGGTATCATTCAACCCTCTTCTAGCCCTTATTCTAGCCCCGTGTTGTTGGTGAAAAAACGTGATGGGTCGTGGCGCTTCTGTGTTGATTATAGAGCCCTAAATAAATGCACTGTTCCTGATAAATTTCCCATTCCTATTATTGATGAACTTTTGGATGAATTATATGGTGCTTGTGTTTTTTCTAAATTGGACCTCAAATCGGGGTACCATCAGATTAGAGTCCGTGAGGATGATGTGCTTAAAACCGCATTTCGTACCCACGAGGGTCATTACGAATTTCTAGTAATGCCTTTCGGGTTAACGAATGCCCCTGCCACTTTTCAATCGTTGATGAATTCGGTATTCAAGCCTTTCCTACGCAAATTTGTGTTGGTTTTCTTCGATGATGTGTTGGTCTATAGTAAGTCTAAGGAGGAGCATGTGAGGCACTTGGAGGAGGTGTTACGGGTGCTGCATTCTCACCAATTATATGCCAATCACAAAAAGTGCAAATTTGGGCAGGAGCGTGTAGCGTATCTAGGCCACATTATCTCAGGCAGTGGGGTGGAGGTTGATCAAAGTAAGATCCAGGCTATGTTGGAGTGGCCTCAACCACGGAATTTGAAAGAACTTCGTGGTTTCTTGGGGTTGACCGGATATTATCGAAAATTCATCCAAAATTACGCTCACATTGCTCACCCCTTGACTGGGCAGCTTAAAAAAGACAATTATGGCTGGAATGAGGCTGCTACACAGTCCTGTTTGACTCTTAAGGAAGCCATGACTAAGGCTCCTATTGCTTTGCCCGATTTCTCCCAGACTTTTATTCTGGAAACTGATGCTTGTGGTCAAGGTGTTGGTGCGGTTTTACTTCAATGCGGGCATCCCATCGCCTATTTCAATAAGTTGTTGGGGCCTCGGGCTTGGTCCAAGCCTATATATAAGAAAAGGAGTTGATGGCAATTGTGTTAGCGGTTGAGAAGTGGCGCCACTATTTATTGGGTAGGCATTTTGTTGTGCGCACCGATCAAAAAAGTTTGAAATTTTTGTTGGAGCAACGAGAGGCGGGTCAAGCCTACCAAGAGTGGGTGGGTAAGCTCTTGGGTTATACTTTTGATATCCACTATAAACCCGGTTAAAGCAACGTTGTGGCTGATGTTTTGTCTCGAGAATTACTTCCCAACATCACTGCCACGATTACTTCTTGTGGAGTGCCATGGGCTACCTTCCAAGCTCACATTAAGGACCCTCTGATTTGTAGGTTGACAGACAACATCAAGCAGGGAATTAAGGTTCCTAAATGGTTTGCTTTGGACAATGATGTCCTTAAGTACAAGGGTCGGGTTGTCATACCCAAACATTCTGCTCTCACTTCAGCATTGCTTAGGGAGTATCATGACTCGCCTATTGGGGGACACTCAGGGGATTTTCGAACTTATCAAAGGCTTTCTGCAGAATGGTATTGGTTGGGAATGCGAAAGGATGTTACTCGTTATGTTCAAGCTTGTCTTGTTTGTCAGCAAAATAAGACATCTTCTCTTACTCCCATGGGTCTTTTGCCCATTCCGGATAAAGTATGGGAGGACATTTCTTTAGATTTCATTGAAGGTCTTCCGAAGTCTGCTGGTTGGGACACGAATTTGGTTGTGGTTGACAGGCTTTCGAAGTATGGTCATTTTTTACTCCTTAAGCACCCGTTTTCTGCTTCAATGGTGGCCCAAGTTTTCATTAAGGAAGTAGTAAGGTTGCATGGGATTCCTTCTACCATAGTGTCCGATAGAGATAAGGTATTCTTGAGTGTCTTTTGGAACGAGCTTTTCAAGTTACAAGGGACACAATTGGCAAGAAGTACAGCGTATCACCCTCAATCTGACGGGCAAACTGAGGTGCTTAATAAGGGTGTAGTTACCTCCGTTATTTTGTGAATGGAAAACCAAGATCTTGGTCTGCTTGGATCCCTTGGGCCGAATATTGCTATAATACTTCTTTTCATACGGCCACCAACTGCACCCCTTTCAAGGTGCTATATGGTCGAGATCCACCAAACCTTATTCGTTATTCTAGGGGTGGTACTTCAGTTGCCTCGGTGGAAGAGCAATTATTGGAGCGCGATGCGGTGTTGGATGATTTACAGTTTCATCTGGTCAGGGCACAAGAATTCATGCGTTACTATGAGAACAAAGGGAGAAGAGCTGGACATTTTGAGGTAGGGAATTTGGTGTTTTTAAAGCTGAACCTTATC